CACACAATCGTCTTTCATCCCTCACTGTCACATGTGCAGCATGCATTCTTTTATTATAAATAACTGGATAGAAACAGCCAGAACCTCAGTCAAAAGTCGAGCTATTAGCGGCCGGCTGCTTGGGTCAAGCTATTAGCGGTACAGTTTTGCTAGCTGTGGTTTGAATGGTTTCTGGGCAGATTTAAAAAATACATTAATAATTAAACAAACTCGTACATTTAGCTAAAATATGCATGTGTGCATTATCACCTTGGTGACTGCATTCACTTTCATTAAACGCTAATCAAATATCATGCCATTTTAAAAATAACATCATATGATTTTAAAGACCGTCAAAAGATGTGCTTGAACTGTTCTCTTAGCCATTTTGAACTGCTCAAAAAATGGCGCAAAATTACTTAACTGTGCGCCGCACGTTACATTAGTTCTGATTGGTCAATTGCTGTTGTTTATAGTTAGTTAATTATCATACATAGATAACTATTTCATTTGCATGATAGGTTTTGATAGGGGTTAGAGGGGATGCTTTTGGTAATTTATTTCAACAAGGGGGGTGCCATCCCTCAAATCTCCTCTCAAATCGAGCCCTGGGTGGAAGCACTGTCTTATTGTAAAGTGAGCTGCCCTTCTCACACCTCATTCTCCCTGAGAGGTGACACTCCAAGAGACATGTAATGAATTACCACCTGCCATTTGTCCTGGATTTATTTTTAGGCCATATGGCCATTGGCCAGATGATGAAATGCCGAATGCAAGTTCTTGTCTTTAAATGGCTAGTGTTCATATCAAAACTGCATCAGCCAGCATGATCTGCTAAGAACCACTCTTTTTTGCTCTGTTCAGTATCATATTATGACGCTAGTTATATTTTTTATTATTACTCTATTTTTAAATGGATGGAAATGTAATTGTAGATGTAATTGTTGAGCTACACTGATTTCTTTGAGTAGTCTCGCTACAGTCGTCATCTGTCAAATTATACATGAGACAATGCAAACTATGCAAAACATTTGAAAGATTGTGCGTCACCAATGTTTTTGGAGCATGCTCAATTTTAGTCCAATTTTAGTCGATTATATAGCCTAGCGATTAGCCAAACGTAAATGCACTTCAAAATTGGACTGGCACGATTTTAGTTGGTACTGACATTTTAAAAAGATGAATTATTGCTTTAATCCGACTTTTCAAGGTACTGTTTTTTTTTTTTGAATTTGCACCAATTTACAAATATTGTTGATTGATGTTAGAAAAACTGAAGGAATTCCCAGGACACAGTGTTATGTCTGCTATGAGGTGAGGTCAAATAGATAAAAATGTATGGCAAGGTCAGATCCTGCTACATTTAGGGCTATTGTTGTATCTAAACATCTCAAGAGGTCATTTGTTCTGTTTCATCTTTATTGCTGGCAGTTAGTTTTAATAAAGTAATAGACAAAACATTTAGCCTTTCTGATTTGTGTTTATTTTCTAAGTCAGAAAAGAGCTGAACATCACATAAATCATTAAGTAGCACATCAAGTAAGTCCGATACATTGTTTTCTTGTCTAAATGAATTTGAAAACATGCATCCATGAATGAAAGCTATTAAAGTTCACTTTGCATTGATTTATACATTCATTTTGAAATGTTTTTGAATTCCTGAATTCTGATGTCAGATCTCATGTAGTTGCTATCTGTAAGGAAGAAGAAAAAAATTCATTGCTGAAAGTCAAGGTGAAATATTTCATGCAAGACGTCTTCTATAAGAATATAGATTCTTGTTCTTTAAGAATAATTTTTTTCAATTCACCATCTATTGTCCAGCATCAAACAGCTTCTTCCTGCCCTCCATTCCAGACATGGCCTCCACATTCTTACGCCAGTCAGTCACCTCTTCTTTCTATGAGAGGAACAGGTGTAACAACAGGTATGTGTTAAAATAGCACAAAAATACTGGGTAACTTTTTAGTTTAGGGTCCAATTCTCACTAATAACTAGTTGCTTATTAGCATGCATATTACTAGGATATTGGCTGTTTATTAGTACTTATAAAGGAACATATTAATGCCTTATTCTTCATGACCATATTCTACATCCCTTAATCCTTTTTTGGATAATCCTACCCGATACCTAAACTTAACAACTATCTTACTAACTATTAATAAGCAGTAATTAGGAGTTTATTGAGGCAAAAGTAGTTAGTTAGTAGTGCGAATTGGACCCTAATATAAAGTGTGACCAAATGCTAAATTAATTGAATACATTTCAACGATATAATTCATATTTCAATTATTCAGTTTTGTTCATGATTTACCTTCTCCTCTTCTTTCTTGTGTGTCTTGAGGTTGGCTTTGAAATCCACAGACTCTTTGACTTTGGAGCCCAGAAGAGCACCCAACATGGCATCGGCAGAGATCTTCACCCTCTTCAGTGCAGGTCTCTTCATTTTGCCTCTAAGTTCGGTGATCTTGATGTTTAAATCTGTAATCTAAAGCAGCCACATGTTCATTCCACTGTATTTCCGTTGAATCTAATAAGATACAAAGTGATTCCCTTGATGGTGTAGTACCTCCTTTTCATTTTTGGTAACCTTGGCTGAGATATCGTACCTTTCTTCATCTACAACATCAATCTTTTGATGAAGGTCTTTGCAGAGAGCCTGAGAGCACAGTATTGTCAAAATTACTGGAGTGGTTGTCAACAATTTTTTTTTCTTCAATAATGAATTTTTTTAATTAATAATAAAAAAAAAAAAACATCATTTGCACCAACTGAGTTAATAATTTGTATTAAGTCTTTAATAATAATAATCATCTTAGAAATTAAATAGATATTTGTAATAATTAAACGTTTTTTATATTATTTTAACCTGTTAACTGTCAGCCCCATTTTTGAGCATAGATCTGAACTTAAATGGTTGTAATTCATGAATGGTTTTGGAATACAGACCTAAATTGGTCTTCTTCTAAAGAAGACACCCAGCAGATTAGTGCAGAAGTGAAAGCATCTTAAAAATTGCGCATAATAAATAAAAAAGAAGCTGCATTCCAAATTTAAAGTTAAAGAAATTAGCCCGCTTAAAGGATTTAAAGAACCGTTTCCATAGTAAGACAATGTCCAATTTCAAAAACGGTTCATTTCATCGGATCAATTTATGATATGTTATAAAGGAAAAAGGCAATAAAAAGCGCACCAAGTGTCCCGCTACCAGGACACCGACAGTTAACAGGCTATGTTAGGTTTACCTGAAGATCTTGAACAGACAAACCAGACAATTGTAGAGGTGGCACTCTCTCACTCAAGGTGGTCTCTCTCTCCCTCTGCTTATCTTCTTTTTCATTTACAAGCATAGATGTTGCTTTCTTCAGGAGCTTTGTCTGAAGCAAAACATATCAGAAAGCATTGCTAAATGTATCATCTTTAGAAAAACAGACATCTCTGTAAAACAGACAGAACCAAATACCTTTAAGAACAACCTCCTGGAAGCTGAAATCTTAGATTTGGGTCGCTGAAAGAATAAGCACATTTATTGGGCTCTGTTCATTTTTTTTATTTAATTTCCATGTACAAAAAGTTAAAGTTATAAAGTCCACTTACCTGTCTAAAATGGCAGTTTTCAATTTATGAAAAGGAATAGTAACAGTAGTTGTAATTTAAGGAATAGTAAAAGTATAGTAATTTATGAAAAGTAGGGATATTTTAAACATGTACATGTACAACAAGATAGCTGATACTGTATGCATATAGATATTAACAACTTAAAAGACAGAATACTTACGACTCAGACATTGTGACCTTCTAAGTGCAAATCTAAGTCCAAAATCTGAAATGTAAAGATTGGTGACTCACTGATAAGCGGCAGTTATTATTACTAAATAATAATGCACTTCATAAGCATCATTTTGGAGGTACATGCCACTTGAACACACACACACATGTATATATATATATAAACACCACTTCTCAACATCACACAGTAATAGATTTCTGATGGATGAACCAGAACCAGAAAGCCAAAGAAAGTAGGAAGCAAAAGTCGTAAATGATGAAAAGTCTCAATTGTTTCTCCTAGACAGCAATGAGACTTTTACTTGAATTTCCTACAACTTCAAATCAGATCTCAACAATGTAACCAATCACGTCTCATTAAATCTCATCTCATTTATGTCAGCACTTGTATCTCATGGGTAATCCTGTTATTTTTAGAGCAATCACATGCATTGCTTTTACTGTTAGCTGTGCCAAATAGTGCAATTGTTCATACCTGTTTCTCCAAAGACCACTCCAAGTGAATGAGTAGAGTGGGACAATGTCAGTACACAAGGAAACTCAAGCAAATTTTATGGCCTCTTTGGCTTCCTCTGAGTGGCTCACTAAAATAGACTGAACCCTTTTACCCAGATCATTTTACTCAGCACCACTAAAACACAATTGCATACATTGTCCACTGCCAGTCCCTCTTTATTTCCCATTGTTTGACCGTACAAGGCAGAAAAGGATTTGCTGAAGTCAGCCAGTAGCTGTATGACTGCAACTAAAAGTGACCACAGAGTCTAGCGAATTTTGAATTGATGGAATGATTTATTTTGGAAGATAACATGAATAAATGAATCAGGGTATCTGTTGTTTCTTTTAATTTGTATATACATACAAATGGTTTTATACACATCCCAAAGGGTTTTATACACATCCCAAAGGGTTTTAGTATAGTGTGAAATCCAAATAAATGAGACCACTCTTAACTTAGCTGATTCGAACGGCATTGAATATGGGTAAATATACACACAACATGTGGTAACTTAAAACCAGTTATGCACATATACAAGTGCAGAAATGCATTTCAAGGACACAGTTTGTTTTGCAGGGGAATTGCATGGTGACACAACACGTTTCTTTGTTGCATGGGGTCATTTAATTTTGGAATGCCATTACATTGCAATTTTTTACTTCCAGCAGTGTAGAAAGTGTTACAATATCTGACATCTTTTATTCCACTAAACAGCACTAGTTCACAATATTGCATACAATTAATTTCCAGTCTGATTATTTTTCTCATGCATATATGATGTATTTAGCATATCATACACAAAGTATCATATTTAGTTTCAAATGTAAACACATTTGTACAGAATGTCCACAAATTGCAGCAAAAGACAGGAACTGGTAAAGACACACTAAGAGCTAAGCTCACCTACAAAAAACACTTAAACTATGAACATTATAAACATTGTGTGTGTGTGTGTGTGATTGACTTTATTAGTCATAACAAATCAAAGTTGTATTTGGTTTGGTTTTTCTTGCTTCAAACCATGCGTGTTTCCCTGCCTTGGCACGCATCTGTTGCTCTCCTTCCTTGTTACAGAGTCTGAAAAATTAGGAAAACAATGTAATTTTTCAGTCAAAATGCTTGTTTTTTACAGCTCTCAAACACAGTTAAATTTGTCAAATTAGCTTTGTACCTTCTTTATTGTCCAGCAGTAAACAGCTTCTTTCTGCCCTCCATTCCAGCCATGGCCTCCACATTCTTACGCCAGTCAGTCACCTCTTCTTTCTATAAATGGAACAAATAAATAAAATAGGGATGGAATGAGTTTCTCTTTGTTATAATGAATGCATTTATATTTCTAAAAGACTGAAAGGCATCACCTTTTCTTCTTCTTTCTTTACTGTCTTTAGGTTGGCCTTGAAATCCGCCTTCGATGACATTTTGGATTCAGTCAGCGCACCAAACATGGCATCATGTGACTTCTTAACCCTCTTCAGTTTGGTTCGTTGAGTTGTACCCTTCATTTCCCAAATCTTCTGGTTTAAGGACTGGATCTGAAATGGACCACAACAACGGTAACTTGCAAAACAACCTTTTTGATGTCAAATTGTGACAAATTGAAATAAAGTTGAAATAAAGTAAAATATACAAATTAGGTGAAAATCTTAAACTTAAAAAACCTAAACCTAAATTATAAATCTTGCCTTGGCAACTAACTGAAATAAATCATTGTTAATAATAAATACAAGTTGGAGTACTACCAACATAACTAAAACTGAAATAAAAACAAAGATATGTAGAAATGTTTAAAAAAAAAATGTAAAGCACATAATAAAATTACTAAAATTTTAAGTAAATTTAACTGTGTAAAACTAAAAGCTAATTCTAAATAATAATAAATAATATAATAGTGTATAAATACATAGTAAAATAGCACTTTGTGAAGGTCCTTTATCATTTGTATGTTCTCTGGGATTCAAACCCATGACCTTGACATTGTTAGTGACAAGCTTTACCTTAGAGATGCCGCAGCTAAAACACCTGTTAACATTTTTATTCATGAATAAACTACTATTAATCTTTTGTTTGTCTTTCTAAACGTGATGTAACATCGCAACCATTACCTCTTTTTCATTTTTATCCACTTTAATTTCAAGATCATATCGAACCTCGTCAACAACATCAATCTTGCGGGAAAGCTCTTTGCAAAGTTCCTGCAAAAAACATTTGTGTGAATATAATACTCTATTTACTCTTTTGCATATTGTTATTGCAGAACATTTTATTCTAGAAAATACCTGGAGCTCCTGAGCAGAAAGACCAGATAGTTTGAGAGGAGGAAGCCTCTCAATAAGAGCATCATCTCTGTCTCTTTTATTCTGCTCTTTTTCAGCTGCCAGCATAGATGTGGCCTTCTGCAGTAATTTGCTCTGTAATGTAACAGCACTGACGTGACTATGAAGTTCCAACAGATTAGCACATAGCTTAGCGCATAGCTTAGCGCATAGTGCAGCACACTGCTAACACGGCTGGCCATTTCATCATGGATTCTAGTCTTGACTTTCATTACTGTAATGAAGTTTAATATTACATATTAAATATAAATATGTGAACATAAGTTCTTATGTTTATTAACCGAATCAGTATTGCTCAACAAAAAAAAATTATACACTATTATTGAGAAGTTTGGGGTCGGAAATATTTATCAAGATTTTTGAAAGAAGTCTCTTCTGCTCAGTCTGCATTTATTTAATAAAAAATACAGTAAAACAGTAATATTATGAAATATTATTGCAATTTAATATATCTTAAATATATCTTAAATATATATATTAAATTAAATATATTTTAAAATGTAATTTATTATGTTAACACCATCATTATGCTGCGTTCATGCCATTTACATAAAATAAATGTAAATAAAGCTCTGTATGCGAATCGCTCTCGCTGTACTTTGATGTCATACACTGAACGGTCTGCACAGCGCCACTGCAAGTCGAACACACTTTAAATCTGCAGTGGTCAGGTGGTACAGCGGCCACGTGCTACAAGACGTAGCTCTCGGAAAATACGAGTTTACACGTTGTAAACACGTTGTTCTACAAGCACGTAAAGGCTTTTTACAGTTAAGAGTCATTAGGGTAATTACTATATGGCTTGAACGCACCTTTACTCCAGTCTTCAGTGTCACATGATCCTTCAGAAATCATTCTAATATGCTGATTTGCTGCTCAAGAAACATTTCTTATTATCAATGTTGAAATCAGTTGAGCTGCTTAATATTTTTGTGGAAACCGTGAAACATTTTTATTGCAGGATACCTTGATGAATAGAAAGTTTAAAAAAAAAAACTATTTACTTGACATATAATTTTTTGTAATGTTTTAAATGTCTTAACTGTCACTTTTAAATCAATTTAATGCGTTATTGCTGAATTGAAGTATTTAAAAAAAAATCCAAACTTTTGACCGGTAGTGTATTTTATTAAAAAAAACAGACTTACTTTTAAGAGCAGCCGCCTTGTGGCAGTATACTTTGTTTTTTTCTGAAAAGCAAAACAAGTCATGTTTAATCACTCCAAATTATTTTTTTGACCTGCTAAATCTTATGAATTATTGTAAAGTTTGCCAAAAGGGAAGTGACTTACAGGACTACAATGATGAACCACAGAGCGCAGCAATAAGGAAAGAAAAGAAACAGAGATTAACAAAAGAGAAAAATGTATCCACTTTACAGTTTTAATCATAACATTGTTAAAGTACTTACCCTTCGGACATGGTTGTTTCTCTTTATGGACCCTAAAAATGGAAGAGTTCTCATTAAAATGAATTTAAAAACACATATAAAGTGTTTAAATGGACCTTTTTCCAACATAAGTCACTATAAACAAAGGTCATGAATCTCAGGTGATGAAATCATTCAGTGTATGAATCTGTGTGTCAGATTTGCGTGAGTCGCTAGGAAACATTCCTACAGTCCACACAGTCTGGAAAGGTGATGAGTGCCAAGTATTTGAAAGGCAGAGGAGTCACAATGTACAGGAAAATTTAATTTGGAGCCCTCGTATCAAAAGAAGAGTGCTTTATATAAAGCACTGGTGCCGAGCACTCTGTCCGTACCGATTTTTTTCATTCGTACCTATTATGCTTGATAAAACACATGGTTGTTAGTATTTCCAGCCTGACTAAATTTTAACATCGCTGCCATTCTTTCATGGCCCAGTTTCAAGCCCTAGCCTTGAACTCACTACACTGGATGCTTTCATACGGATCCTAGTAGCAAGTTTTGGATAAGATTGCTTGTATTTTATACTAAATTATCTTGATAGTTTTTTTTGTTTTGTTAAAAAGTGAAAAAAATAATTTTGATTTTTTTTTAAAGCATTTTATTGCCCTCAAAAAAAGTTAATTCGTTCGTACAAATATAGGAAGTAGTCATTTAAGAGTTCAATCAAAATCTGGCCACTAGTTCAGAGGCGTAGTTTTTTGGTTACTTTCCAGAGCGAATTATATGCCAATTTCTTGAGTGACTAAATTGGAAGTCAAAACACCTGAGAACTGTTTTCAGGATCTAATTGGTTCTGGGAGCCAAATCTTTTAAGAACATTTGATCTCTTCTCCAAGTCTAAGCTAGCCGTGAAACCGCCACAGTATTTCATAACATACATTCCTTAAAGTTGACACAAGCAGCTTGTTACGAAAATACACAGCGTGACACTCGCCAGTCCCTGTGGGGAGCCGCGGTCGTGACACGGGAGAATGTAGGACGGATATGCGTCCATCCTCCCAACAGTGAAGCTGTAATTATGATTATCTCCAAAAGTGAACTGTAAATCTAAGAGTGATGAACAGATATTGCTGAACATCCTCTCAGATGTTTAGCAATAAACTCAATATCCTTAAGTATTTATGACAACATGTGTGGGTCCATTAAAATGTGATAGCTTATAGGACTTACCTTGAACTTGGAGACAATCAGGGTGATGTGTTGCGTGGTGGCGTGGAAGAAGAATAAATGTTAAATGATTTTTTTCGTGCAGGATTTATGGGTTGAATCCTGCATGTGAATGGCTAACTAAAATAGACCCCCGTTACGCCTCTTGCACACAAGTGTGCAAATATCTGGGCAATTTGTTTTCCACCTCCAGGACATGGACATACACACTTCCAAATGACACACACTAGCACAAGGGTCATGCACTTCAAGTCTCTTTTGTGTAAAGTAGAAACTGGAAAAGGACACCCAATGGGGTAAAACAATGAACAGATATCACCATACTTCCCCAGATGATTGATTATATTATAAACATTTAAAAAAAAAGATGTATTACAAGTTTTCTGAATTGTTTAAAGATACAAATACACGAATTTGCATAAATTACCAGAAATATGACAAATCTGAACAGAAATCTCTTGGATAAAGCCAGGTTCAAAATTCTTGTTTGATTTTATTGACTAGAGTCAAAGGTTTTTACAAAGGGAATTTTGAATATCTAATTTTATCACTCCATGATAGGAAAATACTGTCAACAATGGCAAAAAAAACAACAACCATGCTTTTAGGGAAAAAAATGTATTATGTGTAAAGTGTGTCAAAAGATATATGAATAAACCCATATGTAAAAACCTTTAAAATATTCAATGTACTGAAAACGGAAACGTTTTTCACGTACAGACGACAACAATGCTAAAACGACTAAAAACACTGTATTCTGCTGCCACATTGTGCCTTAAATTTTTCTGTACAATCAAATTGTGTTTTTAAGTCATTTTAAATGCATACATTAAACTGAGTTAAAAAAAATTAGTTGAATCTTGTATAATTTATTACAAAAGTTGAAAATTGCTTAACTTATTTTGATTAGTTAAAGCAATGTAAAAACATGTTGTCATAACTTATTGATCATATCATTTTTTACAGTGCAGTAGTTGGCGATGTTACTTTGTAAAGAAACACCACACGCCTATAGACTGAACGCGTAATACGCATGCGCATGACGTCATTGTTTTCAGTAGTTTTGTAGTTTACATGGAGACGATAGCGGTATTGTTTTCAAAAACTTGCACTTTGAAACCCGTTTTCATAACGTTGCTTTTCAGGCCCCCAAAACGCTTCTGTCGTGTACATGAACGGTCAAAGCGCTTAAAAAAGCCGTCTGTTTTTAGTTGAAAACGGTGTCGTGTAAACAAGTGCTAGTAAATATTTCTGGTTCAGTGCAGAATATAAATATTACATTAAATATTTTATATTAATATTTATTTTTAAAAAATCTTCTTTTTTTTATATATATTTTTTCTTTTCTTTTTTGGTGTTTTGAGATAATTTCAAAAATAAAAATGATTTATAATTAATATTAATGCAATAATTATGACCCATTTTTTCCCCATTGAATATAATAGATTTTTTTTTTTTTTTTTTTTTTTTTTTTTTAAAGCTGTATTTAATTTTAGAGTCAAGCCTAGGCCTCATGAAAGCAATTTTTGAAATGAGATGGATGCCATCTGGTGGACAAACTGAGCATTTTAAAAATTCAAAACCCATATGTAATCTGAATTTATTAGTGTGTACGTGTATAAAAGTGTGTTTGTGTGTGTGTGTGTGTGTGTGTGTGGATGTGTCTGTTTTGCACTCTTGATGATTTATAGATTCACCCCTTCACTGTTGTGTGCTTTTTTTCTGGATCGTGGCTGATTTGTAGATTGTACGCACAAAAAAACTCTGTATTTTCACATTTTTGCCAATTTCCCATTAATTTCCTATGCGGGTCCATTTGGACCCGAAGGTCCTGAGTGTGACTTTTTTTTTTTTACAACCACTTAGACTATTCAAATCCTGTCCCCAATTTTTTTGGGTGTTCATATACCAAGTACCAACAAAGTCACCAAATTTCGGACCATTCCGATAAAGCTATGATTTAAAAAAAAAAAAAATTATTTAAATGCTTCGGGTCCATTTGGGCCGAAGGACCCCAGAGGGTTAAACGATTTAATCAAATTTAATTTAATAGGACTGTAACTATTTTTTGTAAGTCTATTTTCTTGGCATATTTAATTTGTTAACTCCACAGTTATAATAAAATGTTCTCCTCGTAAACGCTAAAGTTAACTGGCCTCTTTATTAACTTGCGTGCTTGTGTTTGAGGACCATAAAGGCAAAGTTCTCCAAGGCTATGGTGCCTGCGTGCCGTGTCTAATGGGGTGAGGGCAGACAGTAACTAATGTGTACTTGTTAAGAAGGGACTGACAGCACAATCCTAAAAGTCGGGTATTAATTATAGTTTACACTAGGTTGTACAATTACAATGCATTCAAATCTCGTCCACAAAAAGCTGCATGCTCAAACCTATACTTTTAAAAATCATAATGGTGACGTGCGCTCAATGAAAATGTGAAAAATGGCAATTGTTTTTATGATACTGACCTTTCTATTCAGATGGGTCATGTAGGTCCTGCATGCTGTGATCATTTATACTGTGATTTAATTAATTAAGTGCCAGTGATAATATTGTGCCATGAGTTTTGACTGTGTGACAGAATGAGACAGGTGTTTTGCAAGGGCTTCTCAAATCCTCTGCTGACTGCTGGCATGTAGCGGTAGTTATCAGTGTCAGCAGAACTCATGAAGTCATTTTAGTGCTTAAATGTGGAAGTTTGCTTGTTAGGGTCGCTGTTCTCTTCTTATTAAGTGTTATTAAGACTTATTAAGGCATTATTCTGTAGGGTGTGTTTAAAGACAGTCTGGCTAATGGTGTTATAATTCTATCTAAAAAATATTATTTACTACAACTTAATAGAAAACTGCTGTTTAATGAGATGGAGAGAAAATATAGTGCTTTTGTACAATGATCCAAATAATCCTACTTATTACTCTTTAAACTGACATGAGCCCTCTAGTGGGCTTTTTTGCCAACAGTTTGCCTTTTAGATGTTTTGCTGGTCACTTGCTGGTGTGTGTGTGTATATATACACTCACCTAAAGGATTATTAGGAACACCATACTAATACTGTGTTTGACCCCCTGTCGCCTTCAGAACTGCCTTAATTCTACGTGGCATTGATTCAACAAGGTGCTGAAAGCATTCTTTAGAAATGTTGGCCCATATTGATAGGATAGCATCTTGCAGTTGATGGAGATTTGTGGGATGCAGATCCAGGGCACGAAGCTCCCGTTCCACCACATCCCAAAGATGCTCTATTGGGTTGAGATCTGGTGACTGTGGGGGCCATTTTAGTACAGAGAACTCATTGTCATGTTCAAGAAACCAATTTGAAATGATTCAAGCTTTGTGACATGGTGCATTATCCTGCTGGAAGTAGCCATCAGAGGATGGGTACATGGTGGCCATAAAGGGATGGACATGGTCAGAAACAATGCTCAGGTAGGCCGTGGCAATTAAACGATGCCTAATTGGCACTAAGGGGCCTAAAGTGTGCCAAGAAAGCATCCCCCACACCATTACACCACCACCACCAGCCTGCACAGTGGTAACAAGGCATGATGGATCCATGTTCTCATTCTGTTTACGCCAAATTCTGACTCTACCATCTGAATGTCTCAACAGAAATCGAGACTCATCAGACCAGGCGACATTTTTCCAGTCTTCAACTGTCCAATTTTGGTGAGCTCTTGCAAATTGTAGCCTCTCTTTCCTACTTGTAGTGGAGATGAGTGGTACCCGGTGGAGTCTGCTGCTGTCTGCTTCTGCTGTTTCAAAATTGCTTAAATCACCTTTCTTTCCCATTCTGACATTCAGTTTGGAGTTCAGGAGATTGTCTTGACCAGGACCACACCCCTAAATGCATTGAAGCAACTGCCATGTGATTGGTTGATTAGATAATTGCATTAATGAGAAATTGAACAGGTGTTCCTAATAATCCTTTAGGTGAGTGTATATACTGTACATTGTTCTAAAGTTTGGGGTTGGTTTTAATGTCTCTAAAGTCTCTTCTGCTTAACAAGGCTGCATTTATTTGACCAAAATACAGTAAAAACAGTAACTTTGGAAAATATTATTACAATTGAAAAGACCTGTGTTCTATTTGAATATAATTTGACATGTAATTTATTCCTGTGATGCAAAGCTGAATTTAAAGCCATTCGTCTTTCCATGGCACAAGATCCTTCAGAAATCATTCTAATATGCTGATTTGCTGCTCAAGAAACATTTCTTTTTATTATCAATGTTGAAAATGGTTGTGCTTTCAAAAAAAAAAATCTTTATGACTTTAAACATAACAGTAGTTTATAGATATACACAATATCTAAGCTATATATTATAAAATGTTGCTTAAAATGGTTTTCAGAACTATAACAAATTGATGTAGTTCACTGGAGGAAAGTGAAACTGTTAGGTTATCTTACATGTCTACACTAAATTGTTATTAAAGTTGTTTGTTCAACTAGTATCAAATATAACTGTCTGACAAACAACCAAACTACTACTACTACTGTGTAGTAGAAGGGCTTGATTTTAAGGCAGACTTGAATATCAACAGGAAATGTTTGTGAGAAAAGCTTAATTTCTTTGTGTGCGTCAGGCTCCTCCTCCCCATTATCTGATTTCCTGGTTTCCTCTGAATACAGATAGAATTTGATAAACCATAAGAGGATGTTCAAATCTGTTCCACCGGCACTTGTTTGTCTGGTGCAGTACCAGACAAAAACATAACTACAATGAGTAAGATTTTTCTCTTTCTGTTCATTCTTTCATGCATCATAATGAAAATCTCACCCCTACATCTCATTGAACTCCCTCCGATGGAATGTTCTCAAGAGGTAAATATACTGTTTTCTTCCCTTTTATATATAGAACATTAATGCTATGTATGTGCTAATCTTTAATTATGCTGTTTTCTGACAGAGGGTAGATTGCAAGGTTCAAGTAGGTAAGTATGTTTTTTCTAAATTGTAATTAAGTAATATGAGGTTTTTAAAAGACAAAATCAAAGGTATGTTCATCAAATATGTATTTGACGTCTTAGGTAACTGTTCAGATGAGGATTGGAGGATGCCAAGGTATGAAGCCCCACGTTCTCCTGTTGTAACCGCAAATGTAAAAGCCAAGAGGGATGAGAGTGGACAGTTTGTGCCAATTATATACCTTACATGGATCCAATTACCCGACAGTAAGGCAGACGATGTTCAAGACTACAATATTTAAAAAATAATCAAATCATTTCAGTCAAATTGCTTTTTTGTACAAAACATGTACATCTGGCCCAATTGTTTTCCCATGATAATTCTATTTAAAGGTTTTTTTCTTTATATTATTTTCCACAGGTGCCATATTCTCCCTCAAAGGGACTGAAGTGCGTGTGGTTGAAATGGCCACAAAGCACAGCGTTTGTGTTCGTTACATTTTTCGCAACAGACTGTTGGGGACAAAAAACCCAAGATGGGGCATGGTGAGAGTACTAACTCTTGTATAACCATATACTATGCAGTATTATTTATGCCACTGTTTCAGCTTTGTTGCTTTCCTTCTTCTTTTTAGTGGACTTTTTCTTTGGACCGAATTGTTGTCATACCTAACTTCAAATACCAGGTTTTTGTAACCAATTTACCAAGGCCAGACATAGGTAGTTATACAAATATAACCAACATCACAATTCCAGGTGAGATAAATAACATAATCTAAAAAAAAAAACAGTTGAGGCTTGATGATTAGATACTCTTTATATTTAGATTTGTTGCAGTATTTAAAGTCAGCATGAAATGGAAGTTGCAGTTGCAGTAGTTCTTTCTTCCCCATTGAGATGTATATCCAAGTGACAAACAGCTCATAGAAAGAGAAAAAATGAAGGGTGGGGCTTGATTTTGTCCTGATTGGATGTTTGTGGTTCGCTATTGGTCGATCTTGAATGACAGGTTGCCCCGCCCTCTCGCCAGTAAACATGTCATCAGAGAAGAGATGTCGCTGCAAGAAGGAGGGGAAAATGAATTTGATTACAGATTACAGGGGTATATGAATATAACAAAATGATGTTGTGCACGGATAATTCATTTATAATAAATACTGCAATATTCCATAAAAAACAAGAATATTCCATTTGTATTTCATGGTGACTTTAAGCGAACGATTTATCTAAAGCAAATGCTTGAACATGTTTTAAACAAGGAAAACCTCCTGTTTGTATAAATCTGTTTGTCATTTAAGAGAGCATTTGGAATAAGGAGGTAAAATGGTCAGTGAGAAAATCTAAGAAAGATGACTTGGTGATAACCGTAGAATTCAAACCACATGAGTTCTCTGACCAATACAAAGTCTCCATCTCCAGTCCTGACCTTCACCCAGAATCATCTCACATTGTCATAAAGGTATGTTCAATATTCAGATTTAAAGAAAAAGACTCTGTATATGTACATTCCTTCATAAACGTATATTCATATAGCATGATGTGAAAAGAATTCTGTTTTAAAGGACAACAAGACATTTCTAATGGTTAATTTCACACTGGAAGCATGGTGGATAACTCACTGTAGTTTGGACTTGGTGGTGAGTTAAAGCATTATTTGTATGTGTGCTGTTTGTTAATATATAATATATCAAGTAGTATTGGAATGTTTTGAGTCTTATATCATTAAATGGCTAAAATATGTCCTGTTCAACAGATTCAGCCACTGTCTGTTCAAAGCATGAAGAACTGTCTGGATTACAGAGAGAAAGTTAATATCTGTCCCTGTACGTAATACACAGTAACATTAAATGTCTTGTTGGCGGTTTATTTTTAATTAGCCATTCAGATTATGATTCACAGCAATGCAAATGTTTCAGTGTTTGATCTTGAATGCAAGTAAAGTTCATTTTACCTCTATTTAATTTAATTTGTATAGGCTACCATAATCTCATAATGTTAATGTCAGTTCTTCCAGATTCTCCTGTTGCTTTTATTACTTTGGTGATACTGGGACTGATACTGGGACTGATACTGGGACTGTTGTTAGGGATATTGACAGCAGTTGGTTGCTGTGTTGCATTTTTGCAGAACAAGGACTCACATAAAGGTTAGTGTAAATTAAAAGATCAAATAAATAAGCATGTAACTTAAATTTGCAAAGACAAAGGTACAGGACTCAACGGATTTAGTGAGAAAGAACTGAAATCCCATGAAGCATTGCAAACGACATAATCAAATTAAAATGGTTATAGGCTAAATAGGTGGAATTCATGGGTAATGTAGTTTTCACCTGAAAATTTCACTGTTAAATGCAATTATTTAAAAAAAATAATTTGAAATAACGTGAACAGATGGCTTCAACAAAAGCATATATCATCGATTAACAACCTCGTAGCTCACAGTAGGTCTGCTTTTTTAAGTGTTTTACGTTATCATTAAAAATCAATTTCCCATATGGAGAAAATAAATTGAGTTTTTACTTCCGGAACCCAGTTGAGGCATTCTATTGTGTAATAAAATCAGATATTGGCTACATTGTTCTGCACTTTTCAATTGTTTTGCTGATTCTTCCACTTACTCTTTATTTATTGAATACATTTTGAAGGTTTCTTAATAATAATCATGACTTTTGATAGAAACGCCGTCCTCAGACATCTCTACCTGTGCAAAGGGTAAACTGGAGTGGAATCCCGTTCAAGAGCACAAGAGAGTCATCATCATCTACTCTCTGGACCACCCCCTGTACAAAGAGATCATTTTGAAGTTATGTGCCTTCCTGAGGGCTAAATGTGGCACAGACGTCACTCTGGATCTCCTGGACTCCGCCTGGCTCAGCACAATTGGCAGAATTCAGTGGCTAGATACGCAAAGGGAACGAATCTCCAAGTCCTCAGACAAAGTCCTGATCCTGTGCTCTCCAGGCGTACAAGCGAAGTGGAAGGCCATGTGCGGTGAGCGCAAAGCGAGACTGAAGGAGGATGAACGTTCACCCATAGGAGACATGCTCACGCCAGCCCTGAGCCTCATTATACCGGATTTTGTTCACGCCTCATCCTTCCACAAGTACATGGTGGCTTATTTCGATGACGTGTGCTGTGAGGGTGATGTTCCAGCACCTTTTAACGTGGTGGTGAAGTACAAGCTCATGAAGCACTTTGAGGAACTTTACTTCCGGATCTTAGACATGGAAAAACATGAGCCAGGGCGGGTTAAATGCATTGAAGGCATTAGGGTGAATGATTACTTCAACTGTCCCTCAGGACGAGCCCTTCGGGATGCTATTGAAACTTTTCACAATTACCAGCTGAAGAATCCAAACTGGTTTGAAATGGAGCTTTTGGACACTGATGATGAAAAAGAGAAAACCATCTTGGAGTCAATGTTTCCTATAAACTATAACCCTGACACTGTATGCTATAAGCTGATTGAAGAACATAAAGCTCATGCATTTGTCAATATGATTAAGTGTCATGATGAACATTTATTAAAGTGTTCCATCGCAGAGACAGGCATATTACTGAACGAGAATTCTTCAGTTCTTACCACAGATGTGCACTCCAGTGGTCCGGTTCTGAGTAGCTTTACAACTATAGATGTGAAAGGTTTACCAGCAACCAAACCTGCTGTCGCACAACATGCTTTATGTTTACAGCCTCTGCAAATCTCTTTGAATTAAGCTTGGCATTATCAGACTACTGTAACTTTATGAGTCTAAACTTTTGTCTACTGTATGTATAAAATGGGATATCGAGTTATGATATTACTTTTTGACAAAACATATCAAAATATAAGACATTTACTTTTGGCAGATGTTTAAATCTAAAGCTATTTACAATGCATTCAATGTACAGATTTTATCATTCAAGGTACACATTTAATATTTTTGCATTCTCTGGGAATTGAACCCATGATCCTGGCTTTGCTAGTGCCATGCTGTACTGTAAGCTACAGAAGAAAATATTTTCTATGATAAATAAACTGCACAGACCACTTTTTTTTCCACACATGAAATTGGTATTGTCTGTTTTTTCAGTAATTTTTGAAGTGTCAAGGAATTAATACATTTTCAAAAGAATTAGGGTTGTGACGAACCTATAACCAAAAAATATGTCAATAATATTCTGAGGCTCACGTACATGATTTATTAAGAATATATGGAGACCAATGATTTAAAAAAATATACATATAGCCTATATATATATATATATATATATATATATATATATATATATATATATATATATATATATATATATTTTAATAATAATATATCACTTTGAAATGTTACTTTATGTATTATTAAACCGGATACTTATTTTGAAAGTATAGAGACTGTATTCTCCAAAAATGATTAATGAATCAATTGCAGTTCTGACAGGAGTTCTGAGTAAGTCAATTGATGGGATTCTCGACTAGTTCAAACAGACCCAACCGGATCAAAGTTCATCCTAGTGGATTCGAGCCGAGAAGAATGCTGCAAATAGCTTAACTTGACAAGTTATTATCCAAAATAAAGATTGGGATTGATTTAAGCCGAACCGTGACTGAAGTCACTACTAGTAAGTAGCGCGTGAGAAGAGTTTTAATGAGCAAACACAGCTTGTTTTCTTTCACTCTTTACTGAATGTTGAAGTCCTGAATTGTTTACGTAGAGGACCCGTATGTTGAATTTATTCTTTAGTGATTTCTTTTGAAACGTGTGCAGGATTGTTACAGTTTGATTTCAGCACGTCGCTTGTCTCAAACAAACAGAGCATGACACATTTTCCCCTTTGAATAGTTTGGAAACCCTCCAGCAGGCGGTGGTTTGATGTTTTTTTCTGTTGTATTCGAATTAAGAGTTTTGCTGACCTGAAGATCCTGTTTTGAAGATGATGTGGAGGTTATCTGCTCTTTTTAGACGTTGCATTACAATTTCATCCAGCAGACATTGCAAAAAAGGTAAAGTAGCACAAACCACATCTCCACATTAAAGAGATTTACACTCAGAGAAACCTTGTCCTAATTTCAAATCACTTTGAACGAACATTCTATTAATGTTACCGGAAGAACGTTTGTTCATAACTCTGAGAAACCTCTGCCAGAAAGTTCTGAGAAGAACACTTACTGTATGGTCAATTAGAAACATTTGTCGCGATCAATCTACCTGACTCTGAGAAACTGAGGTCTTGGGTCGCAAAATTTGAATGTTTAATGGTACAGTGGTTTGAATACAGTGTTGATTGGGTGGACTATTCCCTATTTCTCCATACAGACAGCCTGTTTACCATCCATCCTAATGTGAAAGAGGCTTTAGTGGATCACAGGCCAGTTGTGGCTCTGGAAAGCACTATTATTACACATGGAATGCCTTATCCTCTCAATCTCAGGTAAAAAAAAGAAAAAAAGAAGATGATAAATCTCTTACAGTGTTGTCAAATACTTTCACTCACATCATTCTGAAGTCAGGGTTGTCACATGCCCCTTTATCTTAAAAAACAGAACAGACTAATTCTGTTGCACTATTGCTAATTATTACTATAGTAATAAATAATAATTATCTAATAATTATTCTGTTGTACTATTACTAAGACTAGAAGGTGGAGAACTTTGAATCAGTGCTCTGAAACATCTGATACATATCTGGATTCAGTATTTACCAATCGGCTGCATTTTCTCTGTATTTCAGCACAGCAAAGGAAGTGGAAGGTATTGTGAGGGCTGAAGGTGCAATCCCAGCAACCATTGGGATTCTTGAGGGGAGGATTCATGTGGGCCTTTCTTCGGATGAACTGGACTTCCTAGCACAGAGCAAAACAGCACTAAAAGTGTCCAGAAGAGACCTTCCTTATGTCATCAGCAAGGTCTGGAACTTATGTAAACTTTTATTTGAATCATATGAATATACATTTTAATGTGAAATGTCTTTTTTTTGATAATGCAGGGTCTGTCAGGTGGCACTACAGTCTCCGGCACAATGATTGTGGCTCACAAAGCTGGGATTCCTGTCTTTGTAACCGGAGGCATTGGAGGAGTACATAGAGATGGAGAAAACTGCACGTTTATTTAACAATTGTCCTTATTTCCATGTGAAATATGCACATTATACATAAAGTATACTGCCTATATTCAATGACTGGCATATTATCTCTTGCAGCCTTGGATGTGAGCGCAGACCTCACCGAACTGGGTCGAACACCTATTGCTGTTGTGTCTGCTGGGGTGAAATCCATCCTAGATATTGGTCGCACTCTTGAGTTCTTGGTAAGTGCTCAAACCCAGTCACCATTTTTTACACGATTTCATGTAAACACAAGAAAAATACTGGGTTTGTCAAGTTGCAAGCTGTCTTTGGCGTCATCTGATGCTGACTTAAAACTTACGTTCGGTGATTTTCAACCCAATTTCTATTGTTACAATGTTGGTTGTATATGTAAATGAACAATGTTACTCTTTCTCCGTGCTACCTGGACCAAGAATTCCTGTTTATTTGTTTCATTTGTTAAGTTTCAGCTCCAGGACTTTCAAGAAAACTACAGATTGTACTTTTGCATTTTTGTATCCCAACCCACAGACAGTCGAATTGGCATAGAATTAACAAAACCATTATTGTAAGAGTAGGTTTCTCACTGAAAATGGTATATCGTATTTTGTCTACTCTTTAAACAGCATTATGGTCAAATGTAACACTATGGCGACAGTCTTCTTACGTTTTGCTTTGGGGGCTTGTGTGGAAGATGCTTTCTGTTTTCTCTTGTCAGGTAGCATCCATTTCAATTTATTTCGCCTTTCTTTAATCAAAAGTTTTATTAAAAAAAACATTTTGCCAGCAGTTATGTGCCTCTTTCAAATTAATCTTTAGAAACACTAATAATCTAATAACACTGAAAATGTTTTTGTATTTTATATTTATTTTATTTATATTAATTATTTAAATGTATTTCTTACCATAATATTAAAATTGTTATAATAATAGACAAAATGTAAAACCCCTAGTAAACCGGGTCAGTTTTGATTTAAGTTCTTATATACTTAAGTTCTCATTCATAGATCAATGCTTTTATTTACAGGAAACTCAGGGTGTATGTGTGGCCACATATGGAGATTCAAAAAGCTTCCCGGCTTTCTTCTCTCGGCAAAGTGGATTTACTTCTCCTTACCATGTCTCCAGTCCTCAAGAAGCGGCAGATCTTATTGGCAAGTCTGAGTGTTTAAGCTTTTACCGCACCTACATTTGAGTAAATGTCAATATTACACATTTACCGAAAGCTGTAGTGATTGTAATTGAAAGAGCTAGTTGAAACAAAGATCATAGATAATGTTTCTCTAATGTAACTCATCCTGCTTAGTCATTCATGATGAAGAGCTCTTAAACACTCTCTTTTCTCAACAGCAAGCACACTATCTCTGGGGCTGCAAAGTGGTCTTCTGTTGGCCGTTCCCATCCCAGAGGAACATGCAGCCACGGGACAACTGATAGAAGACGCCATACAAACAGCTGTGACTGAGGCCAGGTAGAGAAAAATAATGCCTGGAGTCTGGATATAACAGTTGCCATATATGATGATAAACATTTTCTTTGTATATTTGAAGCTCAAAAGGTGTCACAGGAAGAGATGTCACCCCTTTTATCCTTCAGCGAGTCAATGAGCTCACTAAAGGGAAGTCCTTGCAAGCCAGTATCCATTTAAGACACAGGACATAGTTTTGCTTATGTTCTTATATACTTAGAATGACATTTTGATTTCTAAACACTGATACATAATTCATATGTACCTATTGCATAGTGTGGTTGTAGTGTAAGTGGTCTGCACCTTATGGTTTGTGGTATTTTCCTGAAGTTCATTCATTTTCAGATATTGGACTCATCCATAACAATGCCAAGGTGGGCAGTCAGATTGCATGTGCCCTTTCTAAACACAAAGAAAAAAGTGGAGGCAACTTCAGAGGTGATAGTAAGACCCAAAAGTCAATGCACCAGAGAATGGACTCCAAAACTGGAAGTGATATGGTAAGCTTTTATGGAAAGACTAATGCAAAATAAATAAATTTTATTTTCAGTGTTGTTGTTGTTGCTAACTAAAACTAAAATGATTTTAAAATAATCGTTAATTGAAATAAAGCTGTAATTAAATGTATAAATATTAGACGAAACGCTTGAACTTCAAAAAAAATAAACGAAAATTAGAAATAATGCCTGAATAAATAAATTTAAGTTGAGTTACTAAAATGACTAAAACTAAAACTGAAATAACAATAAATTCAAGCTAAATAAAAATATAGAAAATCGAATAAAAATGACAAAAGCACATAACAAAATTAAAATATGAAAATATGAACATAAAAGCTAATTCAAAACACACTTAACAATGAATTTCCCTCAGATTGTTATCGGTGGAATAAACGTTGATTTCATCGCTAAAGGAACAACAAAGAAATTGGTGGTAAGTCTAATAACAAGCTACAGGAGCTTAAGTTACTTGTTTATGACAGTATGCAGGTAATATTTGTATTCAATTCAGTTTGGTCAGACAAATCCAGGAAGTGTGTGCCAGTCATTTGGAGGAGTGGGCAGAAATATTGCTGGTATGTTATGTGTCATTCATATTATTATGAATGAATATGTACAATTCCTCTTTTTACAATTGTCCCTGTATTTCCTATAGATTGTTTAAGCCGATTAGGATACAAACCTCTCTTTATCTCTGCCATCGGCAAAGACTCTCATAGCGACGCCGTGTTAAACTATTGTAAACACATGGTGAGTTATATTTTCTACTTTGCATTTTATTGTCTTATAGACAAAAATTGTAGTTTTGTAGGTCATTGTATTTTTTTATTATTATTTTTGCATTTTACTCATCAGAATACAAGTGCAATTGCCAGATTACAGGACCAAAGGACTGCAACCTATTGTGCTGTCATAACTGAGTCTGGAGAGTTGAGCCTGGGATTGGGCGACATGGACATCCATCAGCAAATACAAGAGCAGTATGTACGTATATTCAGAGTACACTACCGTTTAAAAGTTTTGGGGTCTGTGAGATTTTTTTTTAATGTGTTTGTTCTCTTATGCTCACCAAGGCTGCATTTATTTGATCAAAAATACAGTAAAAACAAATATTGTGAAATATTATTACAACTGTAATTTATTCCTGTGATGGCAAAGCCAAATTTTCAGCATCATTACTCCAGTCTTCAGTGTCACATGATCCTACAGAAATCATTCTAATATGCTGATTTGCTGCTCATGAAACATTTCTTATTATTATCAATGTTTAAAACAGTTGCGATGCTTAATAATTTTGTGGAAACCGTGACACATTTTTTCAGGATTCTTTGATGAATAGAAAGTTCAAAAGAACATAAAACTTTTGTAACAAGGTCTTTGACACAATGTATAACTCTATTATTATTTTCTAAAAGAAAAATCTTACTGACCCCAAAACTGTACAATCACAAAAGTGTAACTTTGTGGCTTTTAGTCCAGTTGTGTTAGCTTGGAGACCAAATGCACGCTAATTCGAAACCTTGAAAAAAACACATTTAAAATGCAGTCACTTTATTCCAGGTAAACAGAGGAAAAATATTGATGACTCGTCTTGCACTTACTCATTTTGTCCAATCAGATGCTCTTTAGAGTAAGACTGCCCCACCCCCTAATAACACCTGCAACCAACTAGCAAGTAGGAAATCAATAAAAAAAGAAAGAATGAATACGTCAACAAAGGGGCTTTAAAGCAACGGTAACAACTATTTTGATAGCATAAATCTTTTGTTTTTATGTTCAGGTATCTCAGTTTAAGGATCAACTTGCATCAGCATCTCTAGTAGTTCTTGATGGCAACATTCCGGTTTCAACCATTGATTACGTGTGCTGTATCGCCAAGAAACATGCAGTCCCTGGTAAACTCACTTATCTAATAGCCTACTCATTCCGAGTGTTGACATCATAGTTTCAAGTCAGATGTTATGTGCATATCTATGTCTTTCTTTTGCTGCAGTGTGGTTTGAGCCCACGGATGCCGATAAGGCCTGTAAGCCCTTCCTGTCAGAGAGCTGGAAAGCCCTGTCCTACACCTCCCCCAACCTGGCTGAGCTCTGCACCATGAATCAGACACTAGATCTGCCCACTCCTACAGGTAATGTAGTGAGCTACAACCTAAAATAATCAAATGGTTGACTACGGGATAGGAAGTGTCAGAGCTTCTTGAATAGTAATCAAAGCATCATTTTGTTTCAGAGTTACCCAGATCGCTTGAGGATGTTTTAGGCTGTGTACCGGCTCTCTGCCGCCCCCTGCTGGAGCATCTACATTGTGTGGTGGTCACTTTAGGTTCGCTGGGTGTGCTGGTGTGTGGAGAACATGATGCTGGAACTGTAAATTTGCAGCCACGAAAGCAAAATCGGGTATGATGGGCTTATTATTTAAATGATTTACTATCCGTTGTCGCAGATGATTCAGTGATTGTGTCTCTCCTCAACGAGTCAGATGGTAGTCATTGTCCAGTGGTACAGTAGGTCATTTTATTCAATAGTGTGATGCTTCATTTTTAAATATTAATGCTTCTAAAACAAAAGAACTCTGTGCCTGTTTTGCCTGCTGTCATAAAGGGAGAAGTGGTCAAGCAATAATAATATTTAGGGACAGTACTTGATGATAAAATACATTTTGAAGCAAACACTGATATTATTAGAGAGAAAGCTCTCCAGCGTATGCATTTTCCGAGGAAACTTCGTAGTTTTTAATATGGAGTAATATAGTTTATTTTATGAATCTGTATGTTTTATTGAATCTTTCTTAAGTTTTTCTATTATTTGTTGGAACAGCAACGCCAATGTGAGGAATCGGAGTAAATTGAGTAACAGTTATAATGTGCAGCAAGATAGTGGGGACAGACTTAAGGAATATTACACACATTAATGAACAAATGGCGACTAGGAAGGGCCAGTCAGTCCTTTCCGATCTCACCAATCCATTGTTTAATGAATTTCAACTGCTTCCCCCAGGCTGGAGATTTAAAATCCCTTTGTGTGAATCAAATAGATTTAGTGTTCCTTTAGAAAAATAATTCCTTTATACCTGCTGTGATCATGGTTTTAAATTACTTATAATAAAATGATTGTGTGTTGTGTTGCTGTACATGTACTGTATGTTTACTTCTGTCTTTAACAAATTGCCTTTCGAGGACAATAAAGTAAATATTATTAAAGTTCCCCTATTATGTTATTTTACTCCAAATTGTGTCTTCTAAAATAGGTTTACATGCATCCAAGGTCGGAAAACACTTTAATTTTCTCATGATATAGATTGCACATCAACTTCTTTCTCACAGTGTCTGAAACAATTTGATCAAAGATTCGGTCTCTCTAAACCCCTCATTTCTGAGAGCCTGCTCAGCTCTGCTCTGATTGGTCAGAAGGCCCAGTCTTTTGTGATTTGTCTACTCTACTCTGATTGGTCAGATGGCCCAGTATGTAGTGATTGGTCAGATGGCCCAGTCTGTTGTGATTTGTCTACTGTGCTCTGATTGGTCAGATGGCTCTGTCTGTTGTGATTGGTATTATGTGCTCTGATTGGTCAGATGGCTCAGTCTGTTGTGATTGGTCTTTTGTGCTCTGATTGGTCAGATGGCTCAGTCTGTTGTGATTGGTCTTTTGTGCTCTGATTGGTCAGATGGCTCTGTCTGTTCAGGCTCTGAGTCTGTTGTGATTGGTATACTCTGCTCTGATTGGTCAGATGGCCCAGTGTGTTGTGATTGGTCTACTCTGTTCTGATTGGTCAGATGGCCCAATGTGTTGTGATTGGTCTACTCTGCTCTGATTAGTCAGAAGGCCCAGTCTTTTGTGATTGGTCTAACACTTTTAGCGCATAGACTAATTCCCGATGGACAAAAAAAAAGTCCCGCCCTACATTTTTTTTCTTGTTTGAGAAGCCGTTTCACTCGGATATACGTCACAATAGGGAAGAAAAGATGATTGCAACTTCCGTTTTATGCTGACTCTGCCTTTTAAACCCTTTTACTGTAATATTAAAATATTGCACATTATTTATTCCTTTTTATAGCAGAAGGGACGACTGTGTGCTGTTCATTATCCTGCGCTGGCTGTGAGCTCTAAAGAAACAGTAAATGTGTCTGGAGCTGGTGACAGGTATGTTAATAGAAGTATTTAACATCATGCACAATGAATAAAACTGTTTCACATTTGTCTCTCTCTATCTCATCTAGTTTTGCTGGAGCAATGATGGTTGGGATCCTTCAAGGGATGGAAACAGACAGCTGTGTGCGAATGGGTCTCCTTGCCGCCCGCACGTCCTTGTTGTCTCCTCATCCAATAGATCCATTTCTGACAGCCGATGTCATCCATCCAGAAAAGTCACACTCTCAACTTTGGTCAAAGCCTACATGTGTGTGGATGGAGGACTGAAATACAATCTAAAAGAGGCAGAAATCTGAGATGGTCCTCACTGCAGAACATGAAATCCACGGGGAGGAGTCGGATCCAGATCCAACTCCTCCCACCTTACATATACCTAAACCTACCCAGCTCCGCCCCCTGATCCCTAAACACACCCCTAATCCCTAAACCCACCCCTAATCCTACCCATCTCCACCCCTTGGATCTTGATCCGACTCCTCCCCGTGGATCTTATGTACTGCATTGAGGTGCTACTGGAGAAATCTTACCAGCAGGCTTCTACAGTCACAGTGCATCCGATGGGACATATGCTACTTTTGTGATGTTTTATATAGCAAACAAACTCAATGATTGGTGCGTACTGAGGAGTTTATGTTGTGGATGCAGCTTTCAAGTGTGTTTTAATGAATTGAAGTTGAACATTGATTTATAGTTAAAATGAATGGATCGAAAGCTGTATCACATTGAGCTTATCGGTAGTGGTGGACACCATCAGCAATGTGAAAATCCTACCTCATGACTGTACTAAACATTTATGATTTTAGCATTTTACAGTATTATAACATACTTGTGATAAATAGCTGGTATTTTTTTTTAGAGGCGCAGAGTTAGGTCCTCTATTTTTTAATTACTGATTTTTAATTATATAAACTACACCGTTTTTGCATTGTATTTAAAATTTTGGTTAAAATAACAAACACATTTTTATTATTTAATTATTGTATAATTATTATTAAATTGTAAAGGACATGACATGTATATACTACACTATTTGGTGAACTTCAAATAAAAAATTATGATACTTTAAAAATAAAGTAAAAAAGTTTTTGAAATAATTTGTTTTAACCTATGCAGCATTTTTTTATTTTTTTTTATTAAAATACTTCTATCAAAAATGACTTTTCCTAAATCTGATAACATGAATTTGTATCGCCCCTAGTGACGAATCTAGAACATTGCTGATGTATGTTGAAAATTACTTTTACAAAATAAACTACATCTCCCACAATACATTGTGCATCGCATCTTGCGCAAACTCAATGAGAGGTGACTGGTTACTGTATTCCCTCCTCATTTCAGTGTAAGATGGTGGTAAAGAATCTGCTACCTAAATAAACAGTAAAACTGAGTAGGAAACATCTAATCAATATTGAACATCTGAGCTGTGGAATAGTGCTCATTCCAAACTATCAGATAGGCACATCTGATCAGTTGAAAGGCAGAAACCCCCGCCTAAACTAGAGTCAATATCCCTTGGAGTGGAATCCCTGCAATACAGGACCAGCTAGTTGAAGTGAGTACCCTACAAAACAACTGCTTTAATCGCGATCCATACACCCGAATATAATTACTTCAGCGGTATTAGGTTTGCATATGTGTGTTGAAGCAGACTAACCCCGTGGTTAAAGCATAAAACATTGAGTTTAAGTGAAAGGTGAAGTCAAAGGTGGACTGGCAGCGGTTCCTCCTCTAGTTGCCGGGCCGATCAGTAGGAGAGTCGCAGGCTTTAGCTGTGTGTAGGCCGCAAAATAGAAACGTTCAGAAAACACTCGTTGTCGACAAAAATATATGTGAGGAAAGTCATTTTATTCTTTTATAAGCATTTCAAAATATGCGTGCCTTTAGGTTTGTGTGTTATTGTCTGACGGGGAGTGAAATCGATGTTTTAGGCGTTGTGTTATGTCAGTTGAAGTCTGTCCCAGCTGTGGAGACACCTGACCGGCTTTCAGCGCGACTGACGCGCCGCTAGACATACATGATGCGAGATATCAATAATTGGGGTTTTAATAAAGATTCATAGATATTAAAATATGGATTAAATGTGGTGTTTATTTAATTATTGTCATTTTGAAGCCGAAACGGGCTCTACGGAGGTCTGCGAATCTAAACATAGTGTTTGATCTGGGGTGATGTGAGAGATATAAGTGGGAATCTTTCATTTATGCTTTCGCTGAAAATAAGTAGTAGTTTGCTTTTAGAAATTATATTTTTCTGAATAAATATGAACTGCGTCGTTTATAAGTGCGTCTGTTGTGATACAATGTTGTCAGTGTTGCACAAAAGACAGTCTGAATCGCATGTTGTGATTTGCAGTTCATTTAACGTTAGCTATAGTATGTTGTTGTGAATATAACTTTGGTTCTGTATTCAGTGTTAAAATGTGGACGCAATTTAATTTTAACGGGTTATTTTTTTTTTATATCTGTGCGTGGACTGCAAATACCTGTGATACACTCATCTCTAATGTGACCCAGTGATCCTATTCTGCAATCCCAATACATCAGCATGTTTATAGTCAACTGGGCTAACTGACTGTATTGAGAGTAACATGAAAAGGCTTAATGTGCTTTGTGGTAGCTTGATGTTTTTTACTGCTTTGAGCCTATGACAGCTGCCTATCTTCATTTGTAATGGCTATTAAATTAGTTTTGAGCTAACGGCATGTATTTTTTCGATATGAATATTTAACAAGAGCATTTATGTACTAGAGTAAAGTATTGTCATCATCCAGGCTGCTGTGTTTAAATCAAATCTCACTTCATCCCAAACTACTTTCTGTGACTTTGCATCAGCCTATTGGCCAACCTGCCAGAGACTCTCCTGAACTTACGTGCGATAGGATGTCCCGCAGTCCAGAGCTGAAGGAAGACCCCATGGAGTGCCCACTGTGCATGGAACCGCTGGAGATCGACGATGTCAACTTCTTCCCCTGCACCTGCGGCTACCAGATCTGCCGTTTCTGCTGGCACCGCATCCGCACAGACGAGAACGGCCTCTGCCCTGCTTGCAGAAAGGTAAGAGCTTCTGATGATTGTTTATTGTATTGTTATATATCTAGTTGCGAAACACATTCTAATACCAACCATACCAATACTCGGCGTGTTCGGAGGTTATTACTTTACAATGACCTCTGTTAGAGCGCTACATATGGCAGACAGTTTATCTTTTCAGTAAAATACTTTACTCCCCTGTCGAGTAATAAAAACGTCATCTCCGTGTCGCTTTTACAACATTTCAAATCCCTCAGTTCTCGCCATCTCTGAATTACGAGCTCTTTCTTGTTCTCTTTTTGACAGCAGACTCTCCTCTGTTTGGCTTTGTTTTTAAAACGGGTGGTTTGCGATTTAGCTGCTCCATTAGGGATGCACGATATTGGATTTTGGCCGATGTTCGATATGCCGATATTTTCAAACTAATTTTGCCCGATGCCGGTACCGATATATTTGTATTTTTTTTAAGTGCAAAAAAAGCTTATTAAAGCTTCTATTCAAGTTCTCAGTCAAGAGCAGTGAGTGATTTCCTCTTTGTGTTTTGTTGTTTTATTAACATTAAAGGGATAGTTCTCCCAAAAATTTAAATTGTCATCATTTACTCTCTCAAGTTGTTTTAAACCCAAATAAATTTCTTTCTTCTGTTGAAAATGAAAATAAAAGTTATTTGGAAGAATGTGGCCAACCAAACAGTTGCTGTACTCCAGTGTATATTAGTATATATTTAGTATATAAATATACCATAGTATATTTAAGCACAAGAAAGAAATTAATACAGGTTTGGAACAACAGAGTGAGTAAACAATGACAGAATTTTTATTTCTGGGTGCAGTATCTCTTTAAAGACCCACTCCGATGAAAATAATGTTTTTCTAGGTGTTAACATGTTCTTGTGGCATTTTTCTGATGTTAGAGGACATATCTTGAGAAAAATAAGCTCAAAGTTGTATTTCTGAGTATTTCTACATTCAAATGGCTGTGAATCAGTAGCAGACGCTAAAATGCCGGCTAAAATAGACTGGAGTTGTGACGTAGTAACTCCACTGGGCGTCTCCACACGCGACGTCTTGGAGTGAAATAATGATCGGTGATCGGTGATAACTTTGATTAACTTCGGATAATAATAATTAACGTGTATATAATACTGTTGCCCCACCGGTATTGGGGATGTAAGCTAGCGGGAGAGACAGAGCTCTCAGCAACGGGCAGGGGGAGGGGCGTCTCCGTGCCAATGGCTCCGCCCACAACGCAGAGGCGAATTGCTAATGAGCTACTGCTGCTCTGCTGAAGCAAAGTCCCAGAAAACGGCACAGGTTTTGTGATTTTGGCTAAAAATGGCATAATCATAATTTAAAGACCACTGGGAATGTTTAAAAATAGCTCAAAATATGATCGGAGTGGGACTTTAAGGACAAGCGGCAGCATATTATAGATACTGTCTCTTTAAGAGCTGCACGCGACACGTCTAATATACACACATTGATTTGCTCATAGGAAACGCCACTCTATCGGCAAGGCTCATCGGCAGTAATATTCATATCTGCCGATGATGGTCATTTTAAGCTTTTATCGGCCGATACCGATGTTGTTCCGATATCATTGTGCATCCCTAGGCTCCATGTCAACCTTTCTCGCTCATTGTGATAACTAACCTGTCACTTCCACACCATACACACGGACCAACTAGCCAGACCAACTTTTTTTCTACACATGTATGCAGTTTCCCGCAAAAAATATCCGATCAAGTCTAAAATATAAACGCGTATAGCAGGCTTACCATAGTAAATCATGGTAAGACAAAAACGTGTTTTGGAAGAATGATTGATGTATTGGCTCATTAAAGTTTTATTTCTGCTAGTGTGTTGGCTCGCCACTTGTTGCCCAATATACAAGCTAGTTTCTGAAACAAAACCACTGAACGTAGTAGCAGAATCTAGAGAACTGGATGGTTGATATGTATTTAAACAAGAAGTTGCCATGACTATATTTTATTGTTGATTGTAAAAAAAAAAAATTATGCACAAGCGCAGTGGCGAAATATTGTCTGATTAACTGGCCTAAATGTTCTAAAAACCTGGTTATGCATTTGTGGCTAAAGCATGTTGCACCACTTTTTTAGCAAACCGCACTTCCCAAGTGTAATCGCGATGTGGTTCATTTCATTCACTGCAATGGTGTCAACCTGAAAACTTGACCTATTTGCAGAGTTCTTTGAGCATGCTAGCCCTCGGGATACGGGTTCAAGCGAGGTAACGAGTTGTGTGTGTCTCCTGTAGCCTTACCCGGAGGATCCGGCAGTATACAAGCCACTGTCACAAGAGGAGATCCAGAGGATAAAGAACGAGAAGAAGCAGAAGCAGAATGAAAAGAAGCAGAAGGTGACGGAGAACCGCAAGCACCTGGCCAGCGTCCGCGTGGTGCAGCGAAACCTCGTGTTCGTGGTGGGACTTTCTCAAAGACTCGCGGACGCAGAGGTGATTCATCATATTAGACAATGTTGATGTCTTTTTTGTGGTTTTTATTATATAGTGACTGTTTTCAGTTTTTTATTTTATTTGGATCTATTGAATTATGAACGTCAATATTTTTTCAAATTTTAATGTTATTTATTGCATTTGTTTGAATAGACTT